GAGCAGAGATTTGGGGTTGGGTGGGGGCCATTTTGTGGGTTTGGACTCCTACCAAAGGACTTGGAATTTTGAATCAGCTCTCCCAATTGCCTCCACGTATCCTGTTGATCTCCCTGTGCAGCTTTACAATCTTGACTTATTAATGGCAGAGAAAGCTGTTAAAGATGAAGAAAAATTAAAACGGGCCCGGCGAGATGTATGGAGGGCAGGAATAAGTTGTTTTAATTCTGATTTTCGGTAACTTCTGAAGTCTTATGCTGAATTAAACCCTTGTTAGGCTTGGATCCCTTCTGTCTTAAGTGGCTTTTCAGGTGTTGCCAGAGATGTCAAGTAAGGCATACGTGTCCATCTCACCATTGAGTTTATGACCCTTTCAAGACATCTCTGCTTTTGAGAATTGAGAAATGCCTTCTGAATTTAATTTGTCCTTCTAATTCCAGAGTTTAAGATTTAGCAATTTAAAGTGGGGATTGGTAGAGATGTCTAGGTTTAAAATCACAATTCAGAGGAATTGTTATATTCCCCCAACCTCTGGTTCTCTGTCCTGAGGAATCCCTTCTATTTACGCCTTGATTAATTGTGCATTAAGAATGGGATAGAGTGCTATTAAACTCGGAGACTTACAAAGATTAAGTGCTAAAGATTTTGTTTGTTTGTTGTAGGATCCTGCTGTCTATGTGTGGGTAAGCTTTTAAACCTCCCCCTTATTTGTGTATAGGATTATTGTTGGATTTATAGGATACACATAGATTTCTATTTTGATCCTTTGATTAGAAAAAAGGTATAGGACATACAGTAAAGAGAACAGGAGTTGTGTGGAAAAGGGAAGGAAAGCAAGAACATGGCTACTGCTCCCTCCCCGATCTCAATTGACAGGAGGTATTTTGATCTTAAAACTTTTATTTTTTTCTAAAATGCCCCTTCCTGACAAATTGACTGCAAACAGGTCTCAGGAGGCGAATTGACTGAACCAATATTACCAGGTGTCCTGTCAGTTTTTATCCTTCCTGCTATTTATTATTTAATAAGCAGGCAATTGTTCCTCTCCACCAGGCACAAATTGTGAAGGTGTTGAAATTTAAACATCTCTCTGAGGGAGGGGGAAAATTAACCCTCTCGTTGCTGCTTTCAATTGTCTGTTGCGATCTATGCTGCTGTTGGAGAAAGGGTGGTGGGGGGGGGAGAAATTTTTATTTCAAGTTAGGAGTGGGGGCTGGGAGGAAAAAGCAGAAAAAGAACAGAAAACCTCACGAAGCATCAATCACTTGGGGAAGAGAGCAAGGCAGCGAGTGATCCAGCCTGACATAAATTCTGATCAATAGAGCCAAGTGCCATTTTACTACCTGGGAGGGAGAGGCTCCCAATTTAGGTCTGGCAGCCTTTTTGATGTCTAAATATTGCTGATAATTAATTGACTTTTTTTTTTTTTTGGAAGAATAAGAGATAACTGTGATGATAACAATAACATTGGACGTAAGTGTGAAATCGATTGTGTTCTCTATTTTTTTAAAAATTGTCCTGGAATTAAAGAATAGAGCCAAGGGCATGTTTGGACTGTCCCCGATTTATTTATGCGGCAAGGAAAGTAAGTGGCGGATTGGTATGCTGTAGCATACAAACACGCCTGGGCAGGCACTCGTTTTGGGGGCCAAAGTGAGGAACCAGACACAACCTGTTTCAATTTATGTGACTATCCAGAAGAATGGCTAAGACTTGTATTTTGGAAGTGTCCTCCAATGCCAGGCCCAAATTGTTGTCTTAGTTCCACTGAGTTTTCCCTTTTGTTTGCTACACGCCATGTCCCTGGGTCTTTACTTCACACATTGTGGGTTGGGATGTTGCAATAAGGATGGATGTGTGTGTCACATGTCCACTGTCAAAACGGAAGTGACTCCACCTGTAGCACTTGAGGTTTTTTTTTTGCTGCTCTTAATCCTCATTGAATTCAGAGGGCACAAACTAACCCACCCCCACAATTCAGTTGATGTTAGCTGCTTGTTCACTTTCCAATCTAATTTATTTATTTATTTTACAAGGAAAAGAAAAAAAGGGTGGGGGGGAAAGGACGCAGGACAATAGAAACAGATACCAATTGAACAGAAGAATTCTATCTGGCTGTTAAAAGATTTTTGTTGTTTTTGCCTTTTCACAAAACAAGAAATTATTTTTACATGGTATATCTCCCAAACCCTTTTGCTGAAACTCCCTGTTAGCACATGTAAATATGTTTATTGATTTGGTGAAGGGAGATGACAGATTCCTTCTCTTGAGATGTTGCTTTCATTAGTTCAGGTGGCTTGCTGAGGGATAAAGGAATGAATTTTTAAATTTCAGATCGATGTCTTCTTTCTATTTAATAAATGAAAAGAGTTGGAAATGAGACTCTCTAATTTAACCTAATCAATGTAATAATTTGGTGCCCTAGGTAGATTTTAAAAAAACAAACATTTCACTCATAGTTATCTCTCTTAATCTTATGGTACCAAGTTTGGAGACTTATGAAAAGCCATTCAATAAAAAAAGAATTATCTTGAAAAATAAATAACTTTTTAAAAGCCCAAGTTGCTTGTAAAGTTTCTATCCACCTGAAGCTTCAGGCAGGCAGTTAATAAATACAGAGAGGAGGGAGAGGTCATATAAACTAGTTTATTGAAAGCTGGTTAAAAGAAGGGCAAAAAGGAGCAATGGATTTTGATGGATGGAAAAATTGCTTGGCTAGAGAGAAACAAAGTAATATAACATGCAAGATGATATTGAAGTAATATTGCTCTGCATTTGGCATTCACTTGGCTAAAAATATTCCAGCCCCTACTTTTCTTTTTAGATTCATAACCCAATGGTGTAGTAATATTTTAGGTTCAATCGCAACAATTTATTCTGATAATTGTCAGATTTTATCTCTATCACCATTATCTCAAGTTGGGAATGAAATTATTAGTAATTTTTGTTGTTGAAATATATTAATACTGGATTTTTATGCAACAATGTGTACATATAAATGTATGTACCATTGACCTGGAAAGCATGCAAATAATTATATAAACTTACTAATCTTTACATACCGGTATGGGTTGCTTCCAAAACCTGAGGTAAATCTAGATTGTACAACATAGTTCAATACACACAAATTATTTTATTTTTCTCTGCAATTCAGCATAACTATTTCTTAACTATTTGCATACACCATATACAATATATATGTATGATAATTCTTAGCATTTAAATTTTATATATTTTGATGTATTTAGTACAATACTGACTGATAGTTTCTCTTCAATAATAAAACAATGGGATATTGAAGAATACACATTAGACACTGTGCTAAAGTGAATAGCTTTTTCATGTAGGTGAAGACTTCTTAATGTTCATTTTTTAAAAAACATGAAGATGAATGGAGGCAATTTGTATAAATGATTAATTCATATGCATGCTACAAGTACATTATATATGTATAATTTATGAAACATACACTTGGTGAATATAAGCACAACCGTTTTAAGAAATACCTCATTCTTGTGTGCAGGGCATATCTAATAACCATTTTATTAAAATAAACTTAATTATTCTGCAACTGGAAGAAAACAATTATCTTACTGATTTGATTGTTTTACTAATTGCTTTCTAAAATCCATTCATTATTTTTTTTTTTTGAAAAAGAAATATCCGTTTCCTCTCCTTTCAGTTGTACACTCTATCCATTAATGAGAGATACCTATTTGAGAGAATGCCCATCAGTGTGTTGCCTTAACAGCTGGTTGCATCGTTATGCAAAGTTTTGATTTCAGATTTCCTACTGTATCAGGAAGCAGAAGGTATTTCTTTAATTATGGCACGGTGAACTGAAGTTTCACAGTCGATTAACATAAACAATATTTAAAAAACAAAATAAATCCCCTTTCCAAGCTATCTAGAGATGTGTAAACAGAACAAACCCAGTTAAACTGTGAATCCTTTTTCAGCTGCTTTTGATCCAAATGGTCTGAGAATCACAGAATAGAATTTTTCTCTCAATAGTATATTGCCTTACATTATGCTTTATTTTGAAGTATGTATTTCTTTAAAAAGAAACAAAAGAGCAATTCAGGGTGGAGAAAACGAGAGAAAAGTTGAATTCAAGGGTAATTTCCAATTCAAGAATTTTTAGTCAATTGACAGCAACACTGAATTGCAAATCTAGAAATTTTCTTAATGGGAGAACCTATGTTAAGTGATAAATACCAGAAATATATTTTATTTATTAAGCCATATTCTTCTTCTTTTTCCTATGAAAATTCATAAGAAGAGAACTAATGACCATTTATAAAGACAAGCTTATTTTAAACACTGTATAGCATGCCTTGTGATTCTTGTAGAGCTTTTAATACTGATGTTACTGTTTTATTTTAGATCACCCATTGCAAATGTAAAAATGAATGAAAATGAATACAGAGAAAAAATAACAATTTTAACTAAAGTTAGAGGAATTAATCCCTTCTTCTAACTCTTTGTGAGCATCCTTATGAATAATAAAATCATTCATTTGAGCTGCAAACTTCTACAGCACAATACTACATACATACATAGCACAATCCTGAGATGTGAGATGGATTGTGCTCCAAGTAATTAGTTGTGAAGTTTCTGCACTTAAAGCACATTCAGGTTTAGACTAAGTTTTTAGAACAGGTGCAAGGTGTTTATAATTAAGAAATAAAGCAAAGGTAAATGTTAGTTTAGGAAGAGTTAGGGTTTAAAAGAGGAGGAGCTAGTAATGGTCACTGTGGTTAATTGTTGGAGTGGGAGGGGTCCTAAATTTGAACAGGTAGAATGAAGAACAGGTAGTTATAATAGGCTACACCTATCAGTAAAATGAGACTTAGGAGTAGAGGAAATTAATTGGGAAGAGGCAGAGGCAACAGAAACTCACACAGATTTGTATACAGAAAAAGAGAGAAAGATAAAACAGGAGAAAATGACCGTGGAAAGGAAAGACTTTGGGGATAATAGAGAGAGCATTGCTTTACCTGCCCGTTCTTCATCAGATCTGCCCACATGCTGGTACCATCACCACCACGCATGAGCACATGGTAGGTGAAGAAGTAGATGCCAGGGAGAGGGCAGGTAAACTTGCCACTTGATGGTTCATAGTAGTTTCCCACATTAGTCACCACATCATCAAAACGAAGGATCTCATACCCTTCGTGTGGTTTCCGCAATCCTGCATAAAAGGCAATTTTAGGGCTGTAGAAAGATGGGATGTAACCTCCAGGACCTGGACCCGGTGGGCCCGGTGGACCTGGTCTCCCCGGCTCTCCAGCTGCACCTCGGGGCCCAGGTGGCCCCGGAGGTCCTGGCGGCCCACGGATTCCAGATTTGGCCTTTCTCCCTGGGTCTCCTTTCCCTCCAGGCACATAAGGCGGCGGTGAGATGAGAGCCAGTTCTTGGCTTGCCTCTGCTGAAGCTGCCCCGTGGGTCTGGGGAGTGTACGGATCACAGACCATGCGACAGCTGCCCAACATCTCATAGTGGGAAGTAGTTTTGGAGCTGTGCACCAGCAAGGGGATGGCCACCAAGAGTACCAGCACCATGGCCACCCCGATGGCGGCCCCAATGACCCTTTTTTTGCGGCTCAGCCTGGAGGCGGCCAGGGTTAAAAAATCGTCTTCGCTTTTGGAGGTAATGATGGAAGTTTCTCTGGAGTCAAAAACCACGCGGACGGAGGTGTCCCCTGAAGGGTCCCTGGAGTGATGCTCTCCTCCGATGTCCTGTCCTTGGCAACGAAGCACTGGTTTCCTTGCAAGGCAAACTCCGTCCCAAGTTGTGCAGCTCTGCTCCTTGGTCTGCCTTTCCTCCACTAGAGAACTGCTCTCTTTCGCAGGAATCACTTTGTCTCGCTCCTACTTTCCGGAGAGCAGCAGCAGCAACAGCAGCAACAGCAGCAACAGCAGATGTGTTGGGGGTGGAGATGGAAAGAGAAAGAATGTGTGTGCCAGTGTGTGTGCCTCTGTGTGTCTGTGTGTTAGAGAGCGCGAATATGTAAGTTCTGTCTATGCCTTCCTTTCTCTTCTCCAGTGGAGATCTCAGCTGGTGGCCACGGAGCAGCTCTAGGCTTCTTGTGCCATATCATATGGCCATCAACGGAGAGCCAGAGGGAGAGAGCAGGATTTCCTAACAAACAGGTCATCCAGCACCCCTCCCTACCACATGCAAGAAGACTCTTTCCATAAACTCAAAAAGAGAAGATCAGACTGAGCTGTCCAAGATGCAAAAAGTAGCTTTAAGCCAACCAGAGCGACCTCTGGTGCTTCGCAAAGGAGGCTTAGCGGCTCAGCTGTGGAGACAGGTCTGTCTGAAGTCTGGAAGGGTCTCCTGCCATCATCCATGGCAGCTGGGCTTTCTGCTTGCTTTCCCTGAGCCTGGGGCAGATGCTCAGGCAGAGGGGAACAGGAGGCCTCCGTCCTCTGATGGTAGCAATCCAGTTGGACAAGCATCCCCGTCCCGTCTTGGAAGGAAGAAGGACTCTTGAGGGCTGATAAAGCCTCTCTGCCTGCCTGCCTTGTCCATTTGCATCGCTGAGGGAGGAAGAGCTCCTGTAGTTAGTGCCCCCTCGCCTTCCTCTCTCCTGGACTCAGCTCACTCTGTCTACATCCCAGCCAACCCCCAGCCCCGCTGGCATCCGGAGTCATGTTTAAGGATGTGTTTTATATGCTGGGGTTGTATCATTTCCCCCCCTGCAATTAAGTGCTCTACCTTTGTGCCTCCTTTGCCTCTCTCAACGGAGATTGATTAACAGCTGACAGATCCAGCAGGAATCTCCTAGAGGGGCTGCAAGCCATCCCATTCATTAATTAATCAATTATTCCCCCCTCCCCAAACACCCAACTCTCTCTCTCTCTCTCTCTCTCCCCCCCCCCACCCACCCACACCCTGCACAAAGAAAGGTGCCTTAATGCTCTGATTCAGTTTGCTGAGATGCTATACAAAGCGGGGTGGGAGGAGGCAGACTTAAAACTTCAGAGGCAGCAGCTACACATTGAGACGGCTGAGGAAACCGAACAGAACACATGCGTGAGAATGAGTACATGCCCCATTCAGACTGATCGTTCCTGCTGACATGGGGATCATTCATAAACATGCATGGGGAAAAAAAAAAGATCCATGCGTAAATATGGATACACATTTGAAAGAAATAATATGGGATCTGTTGGGTAGGCAAATAATATACAGTGATGTGTGTGTGCGTGCAAGCCTGGATGTCTGTGTTTACTGAAGTTTGCCTTTGGTTTATAGAAGTGTGTAATAGATGAATATCTAGGAAGGTTGAGGATATGGGCATGATAAATACATTTTAAGTTGTAGAGGAGCAACTGTACCTGTATGTACATTAGAGTACACACCTATGTGCTGAAAAATGTTCAGAGACAGGTTGAATTGTTTGATTGACTATTATGAAACTAATTTTGGAGCAGGATACTAGAGTAAGGCGATATTTTATTAAAAACAGGTACTATGAAAAAGGCCAATCCTTTTCACCTTTCACTATATAGAGTCCTTCTGTCAGTGTGCTGTTATGGTTTTATTTCCACTGCTCCTTCTCTCTTTATAAGCCTTAAGAACATTGTGTGGCCATTACCTTGTCCTTTCTCTGTCCCTTCAGATTCGAATCCACAGGCATACCAATGCAAGGCTTGGTTTTTGTTAATGTCATGGAGGCAGATTTCACCAAGTGAACGGAAAAAACAAAAAACAAAACAGACTTTTCTGCATGAGATCTGTGTGTTCAGGAGTCATCAGAAACATGCAGGTATATGTGACCGGCATTAGATCTGTCCGATTAGAAAGAACTCTGTTTGCATTTATTTCTAAATCCATTACTACACTAATATATATAGTTCTAGAGGAATACCTACTTTTGTATACACGCATTCATGAATGCACTTATATTGGAATGTGCAGAATTATATTTGTCTAATGATAAAAAAAATGTGCAAATTTACCAAACACATACGATACACACACACATATATACACACATACTGTTGTTGTTCTTATAAACTGCTTAGAGTCCCCGAAGCAGTCTAGTAGTTTCATAATCATTCAATCAATCAATCTCCCTGATGGTAACACATATATTTTACACACACACACACACAGACTTCCTTTCTCAGTTCATTGGCATCTTCCTTCTATTGAATCATGACAGCATATCAAAGACAGCATAACCCAAAGCAATAGTACATCGAGTAAAACAAAATATTTATATTAAATAGACAGGCAGAATATCATATCATCACCGCTACTGGCTCGGCGGAACCGGGCGGAACCAGGCGGAACCCACCACTGCTCACACGTATGTATGTATGGGTATATATATATAAACGGAGCACTGTTCCGTGTGCCTTCGGTGATTAATCATGCTGACTACATGACCACATGTCTTCGGACAGCGCTGGGTATATATATATGTTTCTTATAAGTGCAAAATAGATCTATCTTAGTCTCCTTAGTCTCCCAATGGGCAGCAGAGTGTTTGCTGGCTGCCAGAAAAAAAGGCCTAGAAACTAGTGGATTGTGATTTCACTGAACTAGGGCTGCATAAAAATCTTGGTTTACATAGGAAGAACCTGGCTAAAGAGAAATACATACATACATACATACATACATACATACATACATGCATACATACATATAAAGTGTTTATCTATCGAGGCACCTGGTCTACCGCAATATGTGGGAGGGAGCACACTGCATCCTTTTCGCCTTTCAGCTCCAATCCAGGAGCCCTCAAGCAGTCGCATTGACGACAAACCATTTTATACCAAATTTATATTTCGCTGATAAAGAAAAAAAATTAACTTTATTTCTTTATCAGTGAAATATAAATATATATATATATGTGTGTGTGTGTGTGTGTGTGTGTGTATAATACACACTGCCTCTCAGTTCATTGGAATCTTCCTTCTATTGTATAATCAATATATGTTGATGTCCTTTGGAAGGGTGGTGAATAAGTGAGTTTGGATGTTGTTCTACCTTGTTTCCTTCTGTTCCAGTTTTATCAGTTGCTATAAGCTTGATATTAGGTAAACAGAATGAGTTTTAAATGGAAATGTTGCAGTTCCTTTTCTAGAAGAGTCACTTTGTTCTCTAATCTACAGCATTCAAAGGAAGGGAGGGAGGGAGGGAGAGAGGAAGGGAGGTTTTTTAAACTGGATCTGAATCTGAAGCACATATACATGTATATGTTTGATAAACAAACATTAAATAAAAAAGAATGTGGCTGGAGATAGTAGACTGATTTACCAGTGAAATTAATCCCCCCCAACACAGGTAATCCTTGATTTATGACTGACCCCAAATTTTCTATGGCTAAGCAAAACAGTTGCTAAGTGAGTTTTGTCCCATTTTACAACCTTTCTTGCCACCGTTGTTATGTTAATAACATGGTTGTTAAGTGGACCTGGCTTCCCCACTGACTTTTCTTGTCAGTAAGTCGCAAAGGGTGATCACATGACTCCATGTCATACAGCAATCATCATAAATACATGCCAGTGACCAAGCATCCGTGACCACAGTAACGGTTGTAAGTGTGAAAAATGCTCACAAGTCACTTTTTTTCCGTGTGTTGTAACTTCAAAGGTCACTAAATGAAAGGTTGTAAGGCAAGGGCTACCTGTAATAACAAATGCCTGTGTGGCATTAAAAAAACCAGGTGTTCTCTCTGGAGGGTTCCTCCTTTGGAATAATTCAACCGCCTCCCCCTCTGCCATCACCCCAAGGTAGGGATGACTTCCATTCTCATAGCCTCCTGGAAACTTGCAAAGATCTGACCCTTCTGGAAAGTCCCTGGAATCAGATATGTAATGATATGTATAATATAATATAAATGTTTTGGTTTTACTCAATGTATGGTACTATTGCTGTCATTGCTTTTATAAACTTGCTTAGAGTCCCGTGAAGCAGACTAGTAGTTTCATAATTCATTCAATCAATCAATCAATCTCCCTGGTGGTAACACATATATTTTCTTCCTGCAGGAAGAACTCTACTGGAAACTTCTTCTGGGTCGTCTATGGCAGGGGTCTCCAACCTTGGCAACTTTAAGACTTATGGACTTCAACTCAGCTTTGCTGGTTGAGGAATTCTGGGAGTTGAAGTCCACAAGTCTTAAAGTTGCCAAGGTTGGAGACCCCTGTTCTATGGGAATGTTGATGAAGAAGTAGAGCTGTGTGGCTAGCAAATCCCAAAGATGGGTGGTGCAAATGTTTCCTCCCCCCCCCAAAAAAACCTGGGATCTTCCAAGCAGATTTAACAGAGATTTCCATCAGCCCCACCCAAAGTAGCTCTTGGATGTGTCAGGTTGAATCCAATACATCTGAAAACTGCCAGCCTGGGAAAGGTTGCCTTATACTGAGCACATACAGGTACCCTTTGTTTAATAGCCACAATTGGGACTGGCAACTCAGTCATTAAGCAAAACAATCTTGCTTCAGCTTTCCTTTGCTTTGCCAACCTGCAAAGGTCATAAATTGCACTGGTTGCAAAGCAGAGGTGAAATCCAGCAGGTTCTGACAGGTTCTAGAGAACTGATAGCAGAAATTTTGAGCAGTTTGGAGAACCGGTAGCGGAAATTTTGAGTAGTTTGGAGAACCGGTAGCGGAAATTTTGAGTAGTTTGGAGAACCGGCAAGTATCACCTCTGGCTGGCACCAAAGTGGGGTGGAAATGGAGATTTTGCAGTATCCTTCCCCTGCCACGCCCACCAAGCCACACCCACCAAGCCACACCATGCCCACAAGCCACGCCCACAGAACCGGTAGTAAAAAAAAATTGGATTTCACCACTGTTGCAAAGTTACATTTTCATTACCCTCGTAACTGCAAACGTTCACTGTCTGAGGTAGTCACTAAACAAGGACTCCCTCTGTACAGTAGGAATGACTGAACTATTCTGCCTGTCTCAGTTCTGTCTGGGAGACTGATGTCATCCTTGCACCGATGATATTAGTTTGGGCTGGGGGATTGACGCGTGAATTCACTTCTATGTGTTTGTATGTATGCATAAATATGTATTTTAATATGCAGCGTTTAAATCTTTACACTTAGCACCTTGTTGCTGCTACCTAGTGTTGTACACCACTAAGCTAAGTAGGTGCTAACCTCATCTTAGAATTTCTGCTCGCTTGCATTCTCATACACTTTCTGCATCCAT